TCAGCATCATCATCATCACCAGCATCATCATCATCATCATCCAAAACACCAACACTACACTCAAGTACAGCATCCTCATGATCACGCAGAACAATCCTCTTCCCCCTCCACCATGATGCCCCCCATGTGTTCCATTATTCCTTCTTCTCCTCCGACCTGAACAAGATGCCTTATCCTAATCATCATGATCCTCCTTTTCCTCCTCATCCCCGCCTTCTTTCTGACGTTGCTCGGACTTCGTGCTAGAAACTAAACTCCTCTCCTCCTCCTCCTCCTCCTCTCCTCCTCCTCCTCCTCCTCCTCCTCCTCCTCCGCCTCCACGCCCTCCTACGTATTCCTCTCTCCGTCTCTCCCCCCCTCCTGCTCCTCCCGCTCCTCTCCTCCTCCTCCTCCTCCTCCTCCTCCTCCTCCCTCCCTCCCCTCCGCCCTCACCTCCTCCTCCTCATCCTCCTCCTCCTCCTCCTCCTCCTCCTCCTCCTCATCATGCCTCCCTCCCCTCCGCCCTCCACCTCCTCCTCCTCCTCCTCCTCCTCCTCCTCCTCCCTCCTCCTCCTCCTCCTCCTCCTCCTCCTCCTCCTCCTCCTCCCTCCCTCCCTCCGCCTCCACCTCCTCCTCCTCATCCTCCTCCTCCTCCTCCTCCTCCTCCTCCTCCTCCTCCTCCTCCTCCTCCTCATGCCTCCCTCCCCTCCGCCCTCCACCGCCCGTCCGACCGTCTCCTCCCTGCTTGTTGACCCCGCACGCGCGCTCCCGAGGAGAGAGGGCGGGGGGGGGGGAGGCGAGCGCGTCGGCGAGGCGGCGGGGAGGGGGCCTCCCGTCTGGGGGGGGGGGGGGGCCTCGTCTCCGGAGCCGGCGCTCCGCTCCCGGAGGGCGGCAGGGGGCGGGGGGGGAGGAGGGGAAGAAGGTGGCGGGGGCAGCAGAGTTGGATCGGACATGCCTCCCTACAGGCGGTCCGTGAAGGAACACAAAAGATAAGCAACAAGTACCCAACAACAACAACAACAAAACAAAAAAAAAAAAATCGTCCCAACAGTATGTTTTACTATGTTTGAGTTTTCCTCCTGTGGAGGGACATGCCCGACTTAATAGTAGAGGCAGGCAGGGGGCGACGAGTAGGGGAAGCTGGAACAAGGAGTGTTAAGAACCGAAAGGGAGGAAGCCCGAAAAGAAAAAAGAAAGGACATAATGAGTCACGGAAGGAAGGAGAAGGCCGAGGAGGGATGAATGGAGGAGAAAAAAGAAGAGAAGAAAAGGCAGAGGAGGAGGAGGAGGAGGAGGGATTGCGGGAGGAGAGAGAGAGAGAGGGAGCGGTGGAACTGGCGAAGGGAAGAGAGTGGTGGACCTGAAGAGAAAGGGATGAAGAGAAATTGTAAGAGATCAAATGGTGAGAAGGCAAAGAGAAGAAGGCAGAGAGGGAGAAAGCTGGAAAAAGCAGGAGGAAGCAGGGAGGAGGAGGAGGAGGAGGAGGAGGAGGAGGAGTAGGGAGGAGGAGGAGGGACAGCGCCTACGAGAAGGAATGAGGAGGAGCGAAGAGAAGCGAATGTGAGGAACGGTTCGTGTCGTGACGACTTCGGCGTTTAATTATCTCTGGCACTGCGTGGACCGTTGAACCTTGGAGCGATCGCACCTTTGCAATCGCGCAGGGGGGCCCGACGTCGACCCAATTCCAGGCCACTGGCTGCATACTCAGCCTTGAACGCCCCGCGCTGGGGGATGCCACCGCGTCGACTTGGCACGAACCTGCCGTATACTCTCTCTCTCTCTCTGTCTTTCTCCTTCTCTCTCTCTCTCTCTCTCTCCTCTCTCTTTCTCTCTCTCTCTCTCTCTCACTTTCTCTTTCACTCTCTCAAAATGTATGGATGTATACATATACATTATATCGTTCCTTCCCGGATGGCCTCTTTGCTTTCCTTCTTTCCTTCCCACCCCACCCCTTCGGAGGGAGGCGGAGGAGGGAGGAGCTGCAGCAGGACTTCGGGGGATTCTGGGGAGAGTGGGAGGGGGGAGTCAGGGGACCCTCGGGAGCCACTCCTCCCCAACGGCACCCTCCATTCTGTCCTGCCCGAGGACACAGGAGACACGAGGAGGCACGAGGAGGGACGAGGAGACACGAGGAGACACGAGGAGGGACGAGGAGGAGAAAGAGGGAGAGAAAAGGAGAGAAGGAAGACAACGACGAGGAGGGAGAGGACGGGGAGGGGGAAAGGTAGAGAGAGAGGAGGAGGAGCAGGAGGAGGACGACGACGATGCCGACGACGACGACTGCATCGACCCCTGGAGGTCGTCGTAAGTCTCCAGAGATCCCCGGGAGTCCTCTACAGGGCACCCGAAGGCTGAGGCCCGAATGCCCCCCCAAAAAAAACGATCGCAGCTCGACATCCAAGATGACGACGACCTCCGAAAACCTCCACAGACCCAAAGGCCAACAAACGTCCATGCCCCTCCCAAAACCCTTCGTCGACGACGACGGCGACGGCGACGGCGACTGCGGCGAGGCGCGCTCCTCGACGCCGTCCCGCGAACAGCGATCCTCCACCCAGGGGGCGACCTCACGCCCGCGCGTCCGCCCGCAGCGTCGTCCTCGTGGTAGTCGCTTTCGTCGTGGTCATCGTCGGTGTCGTTGTCACCGTCGTCGTCTTCGAAGCTACCGCCGACGTCATCAATCTCCATCATCACGGTCATCATCACCATCCTTGTCATCACCACCACCACCATCACCATCATTACCAGCATCATCAGCAGCATCATCTTCATAAGCATCATCATCGTCATCGCCATCACAATCATCGTCACCATCATCATCAGTACTACCACCACGACCATCATCACCATCGTGTTCACAACCATCATCATCACCACCACTACGACCAAGTTCATCGTCACCATCACCACCACCACCATCATCATCATCATCATCAGCAGCAGCATGAGCATCAGCATCTTCATCATCATCAGCAGCATTTATCATCATAATCAGCATCATCATCATCATCATTAGCACTGCCACCATCATCACCATCATTACCATTATCAACAGCATCAGCAGCGTCACCACAATTTTCATCATCATCAACAACATCATCAACATCATCAACAACAATAACATCAACATCAACATCATCATCACCAACATCATCATCAAAATTGCCATCACCATCGGCATCACCTTCTTCATTGTCATCATCAGCAGCAGAAGGAACCTCGCCATTATCCTTTGTCGATTATCGACATCGTCGCTGTCGTCATCCTCATCTTCATCATCACCACCATCGACAACCCCATCATCATCACCGCGATCGTCGTAGATTGTACTCCTCCTCATCATCCTCACCAACATCCTCGTCATCATCCTCATCCGCTCCTCGCCCCTCGCTGAAAACCTCTGGCCTGCGGAGGCCTTCAAAAAAGCCTCGGACGCCGCTGGAAAGGTCTGGGAGAATCCCGCCAAACCCTCGCAGCACCGCCAGAAGAGCAGCCGAGGGCCCCCCAAATCACAGCAACAACGGTGCCGAGAGAACCTCCAGGAATCTCCGAGAGCGCGAGAAGGCGCGGACGCAGAACGGTGCCTCTGAAGTCTGGGAGAATCCCCGAATAGGGAGCCCATAAAGAACGTACGCGCCCAACTATGTACATGAACACGGCCCCTCGATCCGCGAGACTGGCCGCATGATACGAACATTCGCGCAATGCGTACTCTCGAAACCAGCGCGGATTCATGTACATGTACGTCCTTCTTTCGCTCCCGACCGAAAGCACCGCCCCAACGGCGCCGAGAGAACCTCCGGGAACCTCCGAGGGCACGAGAAGGCGCGGACGCAGAGCGGTGCCTCTGTGAAGCCCCCCCCCCGCGCACATGGGGCCTCTTTTGCGCAAGCAGGCGCCGCGAGGCATCCAGAGGCGGTCCCATCGCAAAAAGCCATGGAGACCCGGGGAAACCCAGGGCACCCTGGAGGCAAGCAGGGTGTTTCTTGGCTTGTGGATGCCATGACAGTGGACACTCTATTGACCCTATCATTGAATTAAAAATGTGTATCGACTTCCCCACAAACATGGGCCTCCGCTGCATCGATCCGGAACCTCTGAGCGCTTGGCGGATCCGGAGGACGTACACAGGGCGCCGCGGCCGTCCCAGGGCGCGCTCCGGCACGCTCTGGCCTCGACGGAGGCCTCTGCCTGACGGAGGCCTCCCACGTGGGGCCGGAACTGGTGGGGTCGAAGGCAGGGCTGGACCCGAGCCCTGTTTTCCGCTGCGTCGTGGGGTCTCGTTTTGCGCCCTGCTCTCCCTGTTCTCCTGTGCCTCCCCCTGCCCCCCCCAAAAAAACGGAAGACAAAGCACCGCCGAAGTCCAGCAAGGCACGGCGTTCGGGTCCAGCCCTACTCCAAAGATCGCGCCGCATCGCCGAGGCATGGGCGACGGCGGGGTGAAAGCACAAGCTTTGAGTCGGGCGGGTCCCCTTATAGGAGGACTTCCGACGAAAAAAACACAATATTCAAACTGTCCCAAAAAAAAATGATCAAACAATTTGTCAACAAATTGTCAAAAAATGGTCCCCTGACTCTTTGTTGATGATTTGTTGAATACTCCCCCTGTACAAGGACAGGCCCGACTTGGCACAAGCTCCAGATCCTCATCGGCGGCGCGGCGCGATCTGCCGACCCCCTCCCCTCCAGGCCCGCTTCGGGTGGGCCCGGGGCCTGGGCGCCTCGAGGCGTCTGGAGGCAGCTTCTGGGAGCGGGCGGGCACGTCGGGGCGCCTCTCGAGGCTCCCCGTGGCCAGTCCTGTTCAGCACGTTCGGGCTGCGCCCAGCTGTGGCGACGAGGCCCTCCAGGAAAGGCCCCGGAAGAGCCCGGAACGGCAGCGACGACGACGACGCGTCCAGAAACTTCAACATCACCCACGAAACGCTGGGTGCAACGAAAACAACAACAACAACAACAACAACAACAACAACAACCGTAACAACAACAACAACAACAACAACAACAACAACAACAACAACAACAACAACAATCATTGTAGGAATGAACGCTCTTATAAGTTCGCGTGTCATTCAGTATGCATATCCCAAACCCTGAACACCCGCCCGCTTCGTCTTCGATCGTACCTCCTCCTGGGCGGTGTATTCATTCCCGGCCACGCGTGATCGGTAAAACCCTTGAAAACGAGAAACAACATAACGGGGGATAGTGAGGGCGAGGGGATCGGAAAAAAGGGAGGGGAGGGGCTAGAAGGAGGGAGGACGATGATTTGCGCTGCGAGTGGCGATTCAGCTCGCGCCATGGCTTGCGCCAGCCACCCCAACGCAAGTTAACGGTAAGTTTCGCCACTGGTCGCGCCATAAACAGCGCCAAGCGCCACCTTTTATATATACATATATATATGTATGTATGTACATATATATATGTATACCCCACGGGGGGGGCGCACAGCTGCGAACTGGTGTTAGAAACATATCGCGTGGAACCCTGAGAAAGAAGAGAGAGAGAAGAAAAAGAGAGAAAAAAAAAACAAAAAAAAAAAAAAAAAAAAAAAAAACGGGGCGTTGGGAGAGTGGGGCGGAAGGATTGCGAGAACTGCAACCGCGTCGAGAGGAGCGCGGGGATGTGGAGTGGATCGGGATGGAGTGGACAAGAGCAGGGTTTCGTGGAGAGTAGTGGCAAGGACTGGAGAAGAGGAACCAGGAGGAGTGCGGAGGAGCGGGGGGCGCGCGGAGGACTCTGGAGGGGCTGGGAATAATCCCACCAGCCCTCTGGGCGTCGGTGGTTTAGAGCGTTTCCTCTTCCACCCCTCCCTCTTCCCCTTCGGGGAGGGGTTTACCCCTCCCCCTACCCCCTCCCCACTGACCTGGACAGGGGGTTCCGCGGCGCGTTGGAGCGCCCAAAATGTCCCAAGGCGGCTCCAAGAGGGCCTCAGGGAGCCCAAGATACCCTCCCAGATGGCTCAAGATAGCGCAAGATGCCTCAAGATGGTCCCCATGATGTTCCAAGACGTTCCAAGAACTCTCCAGCACGGTTCCAAGTGCCCACAAGAGCATCACGAGGATGCATCCAAGAGGCCAAAATGCTTCAAAACCCTAAGGGGAAACAGATGTTTTTGGTGTTATCACTCTTTCGCTTGCGACGCACATCCGAGGCGCCAAGATGGCTCCAAGATGGCTCAAGATATCTCCAAGAAGGGCCCAAGAAAGTCCCACGACGGCGCCAAGAGCGCCGAAGAGCGCTCCAAGAGCGGTCCCAGAGCGGTACAGGAGACGTTTTTTGGAATTCTTGGGGGGGGGGCTCGAATAAAGGAACCCTACTTCCTTGACCGATGTCCTCCAAGATTGGCCCAAGAGCGACCCAGCAGGGCCTTCAAGGGCGCCCAGGCGGGTCCAAGAGGCCCCCAAGAGGCCCCCGAGAGACCCCCAATATGCCCCAAGATACTCTTTTGGCCCCATCTTGGCCTCCTGAAGGGGGCAAAGATGGCCCCAAGAAGCGCCCAGGAGACCCCCAAAGGCCCCAAGATGGCCCCAAGAGGCCCCAAGAGGCCCCCAGGAGGCCCCAAAGAGGACCCCGAACGGCCCACAGAGGCCCCCCCGAGGCACCCAAGACGCCGAAAAACCCCCCAGGACGACCCTCTACTCGCCTGGGCGTCGTTTCTGGACGGGCTGGTGGGGATACGCGAAGCGTCTAGAATGTGGGGAAATGCGGAATGCAAGCGGGAAGGGGCGGAAACAGTTGGGTGGGATGGGGTGGCCTGGGGGGGGCGGCAGAATGCGAAGAACTGAAGAATTTGCACCGTGGAGCACGAACGAAATGAAAATGAAGATAAAAGAAAAGAATAGGGACTGGGAAAGAACGTTGAAAAGTGGGGGACAGGTGGATGCGAGCGGACTGGTGCGGAAACAAGGCGCGGGGGATTGGAAGGCACGCGAAAGCCTCCCATGGCCTCTGGGGGGCTTCGGAATGGCCCCGATGACCACCGAGTAGTTCCAGAGGCTCCGATAACCTGCGGGAACGCTCCGGGGGCCTCGTCGAGGGAGGCCTCCATTCGAAGCCTGCAGAAGAGCCTGGGCCAGTGGGGCACGCGCGTCTCAAAGGCCGGCAAACCGGGCCCCGGCAAGCGGCGGACCGTCGGCCTGGCAAGTGGCAGCGCTGGCGATGCACACACCGACCCGCGGCAACCCGACCCCAAGATGGACAGACAGCCGGCGCACCACGACGACGACGACGACCACGACGAGAGGAGGGAGGAGGAAGAGGAGGAGGGAGGAGGAGGAGGAGGAGGATGGAGGGAAGGAGGGAAGGAGGGAGGAAGGGAAGGAGGAGAGGGAGGAGGGTGGGGGCTGAAGGGTCGACAGGCTGGCCCTCGGCCGGCGGCGAGGCGGTCGCACAGATTATCAGCCTGGCTGTCTCCAAAAAGTTACGAGGACGTATCCAGCGGGAGCCGCGATCCGGTGGTAAATTGCAAGGAAATCCCAAGCGAGAGCGCGATTCTTCCATACATTGTGAGGAAGTATCAGGCGGGAGCCGCTGTTGTTGTAAACCGGGGGCCAACAACGCAGTTTG